AAAATATATATACAGTATCCCCCTTAATGTGCGCTATATATGGGAAATTTTTTTATTTATAGTATATGGAATTTTTCTTATGTGCGATCGATCCTGCATGTCCGATAACCTAAAAGTACATTTTGCCATCAATCACGTGATCACTGTTGTGGGACAAATTCGAAAATTTAGATATAAAAATGCGGAAAATGGGGTGAGATGGCAAAATTTTGGAAAAAGTTATTTGAAAAAAATGATTAGAACGATGTTTTGAGGCTGTCAGCGAAATTTGGAGCAAAAGCAACACAAAATAAAAATTACTTGTTTTTCGCCATGAATCTCTTATCAAATAATATTATACAGCTTTTATTATTGAAATAGTCCAAGTGCCTCAATATTTATTGTGTATTGGTAAAACAAACTTAAATTCTTCATTGGAAGCATTCCTAGAGGATTAAATAAAAATATTTTATTAGCACATGAAACTTTTCCGTAGCAATACCCTATATCTTAAGAGTTAAGCAACGTGTTTTAGAACTGTATCGAAATATTTAATAAAAAATCTCAATAACGGTTCTTTTCAATTGTTGTATCAATAGTGAATTATTGGGAATCTCACAAACTGTCAAGATACAGGGCATCGCTACAGAAAAGTTTTATGTGCTAGTCGAATATTTTTATTTAATTCTCTAGGACCGATTCCAATGAAGAATTTAAGTTTGTTTTACCAATACACATTAAATATTGAGGTACTTGGACTATTTCAATAATAAAAACTCTATAATATTTTTTGATAAGAGATCCATGGCGAAAACCAAGTAATTTCCTATTTTTTGTTGTTTTTCCTCCAAATTTCGCAGACAGCTCTAAAACATCGTTCTAATAACTTTTTTCAAATACTTTTTTCCGAAATTTTGCCGTCTAACCCCACTTCTCGCGTTTCCATATCTAAATTTTCGAATTTTCCGCCACAACAGTGATCACGTGATCGATGTCAGAATGTAGTTTCAGGTTATCGGACATGCAAGATCGATCGCATATAAGAAAAAATTCCATATACCTACTACAAATAAAAAATTTCCCCATATGTAGCGAACATTATGGGGGATAGATACTGTATACAGGGTGCATCAGGTATGAGTGAAAATATTTTAACCTAAGATAATATGGCCCATTTCAAGCTAAAGCTGTTCTATTAACCATAGGTCAATTGTTAGTATTTTCATTGTACAGGTATTATTTCTGCCAAGATATAAATGTAAATAAAACTGGTAAATTATTTTTTTTTTTTTTGCAAGGAGTTTATTTATTTCCATCTGTTTACGTTTTGGTTTGTTATTGACTTTCAAATAATGTAAATAATAACTTGCATTTTTATCACTTTCCTGGTAAACATACAAAAGGTTGTGAATTGCAGTCAATGACATATTTTTGCACTAAACATTCAAGAGAAAAATTAAATAATACTTATTCAGCTACGTGCCAAATTCTTTTTATGAAAGTATTAATTTTTGCTAGGTAAAAGGTTCTCAAAACACTCACCACGCAAATTTTGCACACTCACACTATTTCCGTATCACACAATCTTTGTAAAACAGGCACACTATTCTTTCATCGGGTGGGTGCCCTTTCCTTGGGAAATCTTTCACTGTAAATTCTGGCGGCTAAATGAGCATTTTGCAATGATTCTGCTTGGACAATTATCTGCATATTCGACGTTTGTAAATATTAAAAAAAAAAATGAATTACGCGCGTTTTCATACTTCAACTTATCTGACAACATGACAAGACAAATCAATTAATCAGTTAAACCAAGGTTGCCAGATATTTAAATACCGAATTCTAGTGAAATTTTCATGTTGTTTTTTCAATTTTTTATTATTGTTGTTGACTAGAAATGTATAATTACTTAATAATTGTATAAACTAAATGTTTTTAAATTTTTTCTTTATCTTTCAAATATTCGTCAAAAAATGTCAAAACTCCATAGGCATTTTTCTTAAAAATGGTTGAGTTTGGACCCCATGCTGTATAAACCTTCAGAATTTTTGTAGTCAAACCTGATACACCCTGTATAGAAAGTGAGTCAAAACATGAAAATGCAGCAGTAAAGAAAATAAAAATAAAAAAACCGAGAATTTTCTAAAAGTTGTGTAACTTGAAAAAGTGTGAGTAAATGATATCATTATAGTAGATCAATAATTTCTATCAACAGTCTCAAATGTCTGGGTTAACTTACATATTTGCTCCTCAACTTAAATACTGTAAAATCCCAACTGATTTTTTCATCATACCTGGAACAAAAAATATATGAATTAATAATGAATATATGTATAATATCGCTCACCGGCGACAATAGTGGCACAACTCAAAATTGAAAATTATGGAGAAAAGTGGATTTAAAGTTTCACCAATTCTAATTTTTCATGTTGTAATAAATCATCCAAATCATTAAATGAACTTGACTGTGATATTGATGTGTTTTTATGTGCTAAATATTCGGAAATTGTTAAGTTATTTTATTTAAATTTCTTAAGGTGATATTTGTTAGATGTGCCACTATTGTTGAAACCAAGTGATACGGTTTTCATGAAATCTTCTGAAAAGTGCAATGAAAACTAGTGTGCTATTTTTAAATAAAAAGAAAATATAGGGGCTATTTTTGCTTTATTGAAAATTTCGTCGTAAAAGAAAAATACGTAACAAAAAAAAAGGTATCCTACGTTAAAAATACAACTACATTTTCTGGAAAATCGGTATTACTTATCGTCTAATCATTTTTTTCACTCAAAATTTAAACTGTTATAAAAATAACTGTGACAATTTTTAATAGCGTTGGTTCTTAACAAAAACATAAGGTCATCATATTTTTTCTTAGCAATAGGTATAGGACTATCGTAAGCTTTTTTCAGTTCAAACTCTGGAAAAGTAGAGAGGGGTGCTCTTGAACGTCTTGCATGAATCACTACTTGGACTTGCTTAAAATCTGTATTTTTGAAAGACGTTTTGTAGAAAAACGAGTCTAAGTGATTTTTCTCCACCCTAATTATCGAAGCATCAGCAATTTTGAAAGTTTCACCCAGTGTATTTTTTTGAAAATTTATGGTAGTCTTTTCAGTTAAATGCTTTAAGTCATGAAAATCTTCGTGAGACATCTCTATTACGTTGAAAGGCTTGCCGGTTTTTTTGGATGTTTGTACTATAGCTGCATACTGAGACGGCGTGTAAATAGGGCCAGATTTAAGAGCTCTCTTGACGCTTTTTTCAATTAAGGAATGGACATTATCGCCTTCATTTTGGGTGTGTCCAGTAATAAGGTATTTATGAGTGATTGCTTTGATTTTATAATTAGCCACGGCATAAAGGTAAGCTGTGATGATGAATTTGTTTTTCTGTTGGCCTGTGCAATTATCGGAATAGAATACTATTTCGAGATCTTCAGTATTACACACAGCAGCCTTTTCCTTTAAATAATGCAATAGGCAAGTGCCTATTTCAACTGCTCCTCTCTTACCCTGACCTTCGTGCCACATGTAACAATTTACTAATCCTTGCCCCTTTGATGTAAGATCCGACACAGTAAAATTGTAGGTAGACAGTTTTGACCTATAATAGAAAGAGGATACTTGTCCATTTGGTGTTGGTAGAGAGGCTTGCAGATCAAAACACGCTACTTGATATGAAGAAGAAGTACTCTTTTTGTCGTTTTCCTTTTCTTCTCTGCTTAAAATTTTCTCCTCGATGTGAGCGTTATGTTCCTCCTCTAACCTTTTCTTTTCTTCTTCTGTTGAATTTTCATAGGATACGCAGGCTTGGCACTGGTCCTTTTTAGGAATAAAAAAGGCTATATTGAACTCGTGGTTGAAGATGTTTCTATACATAGTGAGATTAGCAAAAGGTTTTTCCTGATTAGTGCATTCTTCTTTATAATCACGATGTAGCTGAGCAATTGTCTTACTTCCGTCTATGTAAAGTTTTTCGGAATGTGCTCGTGTATAATGGCTCTCAATAGTTGGGATTGACGCAATGTGGGAGCGAACACCGTCTTTAATATCCTTCGGAACTTCTTTATGGTTGAAATGTTTTCCTCTGTTATCTTCGGCTATAGTAGAATCTTTAATTTTCATCTTTATTGTTCGGATACAGCGCCCAGTAATGCCTAGTGTAGCTATGAAAAAATACTTACAAACTCTCAATTTCTTGTCATCTTTTGGAAAAAAAAATGCGTGGTTTGTAGTTCTGCCAACGGCATTACGTGGGTATCTGTATGCAGGATTAACTTCTTGAATAAGCGATAAAATATAGGTACGTTGTTTTACGATATCACCCATGTCCCAGTATTTTTTGAATTGGGCTAATCTTTCTTCTTCTGTGAATTTGGTACTGCATTTCTGTTTGCACTTAGAAGCATCACACGGTGGTTTCATTCGTCGTTCTGGAACTATTAATTCCTTTCCCAAAGTTTGGTATGATTTTCCAGTATTTCTTAGACGCTTGGTAGTGAACTTTTTCCATTGGGATGGGACTGCTTTTCTTTTTCTCGTTCTTTTTTTTGTAGTTTCAGCCTCGACCTCGGCCTCGACTGGCAGATTCACGGGATTGGCCGTTCCACCTTCATTATCGTCAACAGATGAGTCTGAACTTGATGATGATGAAGATGAGTCGTTGTCAGAATTCGGATCTCGGACTGAGCCGTTGTCATAATTCGGATCTTGGACTGAGTCATCTGATGAAAAGGGTTCTTCCTCATCCCAAGAATAACGTCTTGATAGAGGTTCTTCATTCCTGTCATTCGGCTTGGCGTTATCTGAAATTCACAAATGACAATATCCAAAAGAAAATAAAAACTTCAGCTAGGTAACCATTAGTTGTAGAACATTGTGCTGTAATATCCACATTGTCGTCGTTGTCAATCTGGCTAATATTGTCCATATCGTCGTTTTCTTTGTTACATACGCCATCTAAAAGAATAAAATGTATCATCTCTATGCATCGCAACCTATCTATTTATTGTTGAATCATTATTTACCTTCACCTTCCATCATGCTGCTAGAAGCTGGTTGTGCTGTAATATCCACATTGTCGTCGTTGTCAATCTGGCTAATATTGTCCATATCGTCGTTAGCGTCGTTTTCTTTGTTACATACGCCATCTAAAAGATTAAAATAATGTATCATCTCTATACATCGCAACCTATCTATTTATTGTTGAATCATTATTTACCTTCACCTTCCATCATGCTGCTAGAAGCTGGTTTATCATGATCTATAATTGATCCGTTATCAGCAAAAACATCTGCAAAAAGATACCCACCCATCAGTGGTATGATATTACTCAGTAAATTGAAAAATAATTACCACAATCGGACTTGTTAATGTCTAATTGGGGGTTCGAGATTCCACTGAGACTGCTAACTTTCCAATGACAATGTGGGTCTTGCCCTGGTTGCCCGATTTTTTCTAGCCTATAAATTTTTAATTGTAAATATTCAATGTTTCACCATAAGAATTTTCTTAAATTACCTTATTCCAATCATTGACAGCATCTTCTCTCCCCTGCCACTTTTTTTAACCAAATTGCTATCCATATTGTAAGAAACGAAAAATTATGCCCAATAATAGTATATACCGGAACAACTAAGAAAAATCAATTCAAAGTTCAGTCAATATCGGCATAATTCAAATAAATCAACACAACGTACCAGCTATACTGGCACATTCACTTGAACAACCGAAACACTTAAGGTTATAGTGGCATAACTCAAAATGTGCCACTAATGCTGAAACAAAATGTTGCTACCTGTTAGATGTGTCACTATTGCTCAAACTTAACGGAGCGTCACTAAGCACAGTCAATGGCACACTGAAAATATGCCGGTGTTGATGCGACTTAAGGCGCTCAGCTCGCGGCAGCCCGTAGCGGCACAAGCGCCATCTCGGAGAGATTATTTGAAATAATTTTATGCCAGTATTGTTGGATGAAACTTCATCAAATTTTAAATTGTTTCACGTATTTAACCGTTTTTTGTAATTTTTTTAGATGTGCCACTATTGTCGCCGGTGAGCGATATATGTATAATAATATGAAATTAGATAACATAGACTCTATCGCAGCTTTATGTGGATGTATTTTTTTGTTTGTTTTTTCTTTGCTTTTGACTACGTTGGACTGATGGTGTAGGCCTTCAAAAGACGGCTGTAAATGAAGTTTTTCAACCTGTGAAAGATGCTTCATTATAACAATCATACGGTCTACGATCATCACCCCAGTGGCATAGATATACTCTTCGACGACTGTTGAGGTTCTACAAAAAGTTTTGGTCGTTTATCGGCACATTATTGTGTCCAATCTAATCGTTTTTACGGCACGGCGCTGAAAAAACAAACCGTTCGGAAAATGTGGCGCGTTTTTCCCGTGTCTTATTTATTCAATGCAAATGCGCAGATTATCTGGTAAGGGATTACCGACCATCCCCAAATACTAAATCTACATTTGACCATTATTTTTACTTTCACCCGTCACGTCGGCTAGCTTTCCGGATAAATTTAATCCGTTGCTTTAAGCCTTCGTTAAAGTTTTACCATTTTTTGCCAATGTTGGCTTGGCCAGGTAGCCCGGATACGAAAAAAAGGCCCGTCAACACACTGCTGAATAAGACAAATTGCTGTTTTCTTTCTAAAGCGAATATAAATTAACAAAAGTATTTGAAAGCTCAACCCTTTATTTGTTTTTAGCGAGCCTTTAAACAAAAGGGTATTTTTTTTTTTTGTTATGTGTATTTAAGTTTTTGTTTTGTTGCTTCGTAAATCCATTAATTAATGGAATAAATAGGGCAAACAAAATGCAATAAGCAATGCGTAATTTTGAACATCATCTTGGAAACATATAAGACCCCTTGAGGTGATTTGACATATTATGAGATAACCTGTATAGACGAAAATGTTATTTTTTATATGGTGAAGGATTGTTTAGGTATTTAATACGAAAAATTATATTCCTAAATCTTAACTAGTAATTTTTTTTTTTTTTTTTATTTCAACAAATATGAAATAAACCTATCAATAATGCAATAGCATCACCTTATAATCCTTTGTTTTAAAGCCTGTACTAAATGTAACACTTTTTAGAAATCAAATTTTATATTTGGGTTTTGATTGCAGATTAAAATATAAATTTAAGTGGTTTTCTAATAATTTCATTGCATTTATCAAATTATTATTGTTTAAATATTATTACATATTTTAATTAAAATAAACTTTTCCGAGTTTTCTACATAATTTTATTGCATTGTTATCTATTTGTTATTAATGAAAACCAATTTTGATTTAGATCCCAAAAATGATAGGCGCCCATACTAGTTTTTCTTAATTTAGGGTCGTTTTATTCACCATCTGATAAACTGTCAGGTATGCGATTTGACGGATGAAAACGCAATCTGCAATCTTATTGGTCTACCCATATTTATTACAACCTTCGCCCTGATGTGCCAGAGGGAATACACATGAAATCTTGGTTTTTGTGTGTGTGTTTCTTTAGAACAATGAAAACCGGTGCAGTTGGGTTTTAGTTGGATCCAAAATAGGACTCTCATAGAATTATATTCTCACAATTGATTATACCTTGAAATAGAAACGTCAAAAACTAATAGTACGTATTATAGCATGCTGCCGAATTCTTTAAACAAGGAGGCTCCACACTAAGTGTCCAAACCCAAATCCTAAAAAATAAAATCTAGATTACTGAACCTATCGAACTTAGAGATGCCTCCATAGTTGCCACTTTTAAAAAAGGGGGCAAGGATCAATATAGAAACTACAAAGGAATATCTTTACTTTCTGTTGCGGGAAAGATAGTTGCCAGGAAATTATCAAATCGTCTAATCCCAACTACCGAACTTCCCAGAAACACAGCTCTAGACCCAACCGGAGTATAGCTGACATGATTCTCAGTGCAAGACAAATGCAAGAGAAATTCAGAGAAGAAAATCGCCCTCTATACATGACCTTCATAAATTTAGCGAAAGTATTTGATTCGGTCAACAGAGAAGCTCTTTGGAAGATATTAGCAAAGGTTGGGTGTCCGCAAAGAACATCCAAATACTCCGCCTGCTGCATAATGGACAAGAAGAGTCTTTTCACATATCTACAGGCGTCAAACAGGGCTTGTTATTCTACTCACTTCATTTCCTCTAGTTATAGGATGCATACTTCACCTTGCCGTCAGGAGTGGAAATCCTGTACAGACTTGATGGCGGCTTATTCAACCTGAACAGATTAGGACCCAAGACGGAAGTATTGACGAAATCGATCATTGCACTTCAATATGCAAATGATAAAGTCGCGAAGGCTAATGCAGAGGAAGATCTTCAGGAAATTGTCAATGCATTTCATCAGACATACAAGAGAATTGGCCTAGAGGTCAACTTAAACAAGACGCAGATTCTGCACCAACCAGCACCGGACACTTTAAGCCTCAAGCCCCTCATATAACTATTAATTACCATTCTATGGAGAACGTAGAATACTACCCATACCTTGGGAGCCATCTATGTCAGCGGATGCAACCACTGACGCTGAAATCCAATATCGCGGCGTTCGGGCGAATTCTAGAGAGAGTGTCTCCAATAATCACGACATCAGCTCTGAGACCAAACTTCGCGTTCACATTGGGTTAACATTAATATTTTAGAGGAGGCTAAAGCATCATTGAGCACCAATTTCGCTGGACGGGTCACCTCGTCCGCATGCCATAAATACATCTTCCACGACAGATTCTCTACAGTCAACCGAAAGAGCGAAAACGGAATCAAGGTGGTCGACAGAAACGCTACAAAGATACTCTTAAGGAGAATATGGCAAAGTGCCGCATCGATACCAGCAATTGGGAGACGACAGCAAATGATATAGGCTCTCATGACGTCGAGTAGTCCACGACGGACCATAAACTTTGGAAGAATAGCAATGCAGACACGAGACCGAAAAAAGGGATCGCAGGAAAAAGCGAGAGAACTGAAGAAGAGTCAATGCTGCTAGAGGCTGTGTGTGCCAAAACTGTCGAAGAGTGTGCGGCTCCAGAATTGGTTTATATGTCCATCAGAAAACGCACAATAGATTTGAAAACAGAAACAGACGGGTTACAGAAGTTTGCTCAATGAAGATGTTCCGGATCAATTTAAGCTTCATATTAAAGGGAATTGTATATTTGAAAAGCGACAGAGTAAACGGAGAACGGAAGTGTCCAGTTTTTTGTTTAAATATTGGCAGTGACGTTAGTTACATTAGGCCGGAAAAAGCAGCATCTGCTGAAAAAATCCGAGTGAGCCTAAATTTTGTCTACACCTTTATTTCACCTCAAAAAATAATGTCTTAAAAGTCCCCATCGATATCGCGTTTGGGTTTTCAGATATTCAAGGTCAAAGGTCATAAAAATCTTATTTTCTCAATTATCTTGCTTTTCGTCAGGCGTATAACTTTTTGCGTAATTACAAGAAATTAAAAGCGGAAAATTCTCTACAGAAAAAGGTTATGAAAGTATTTTCTGTACACCCAATGAGCAGAGGGTGGTGAGGTATTGCATTGTGCCAAGGAGTCATGCACTTTTTTATTTTTCTGAATTTTTTCATAACCGTCATTTACTTCTTTGAAACATTTAAGCGACATCTGTTGTTACTACACGTTATCACTGGTTGTGACACAACCTCCGCACTTTTTAATAAAGGAAAAATAAAAGTTTTCAAAATGTTCGAGAGGCGTCCCGAGTTGCATCAATTTGCGGAAGTTTTCAAACAGGAAAATTGTACAGCAGAAATGATTGTTGAAAATAGGTCACGCATTATTCTGGCAATCTATGGAGCTCCTAAAACAAAAGTATATCTTTTGAAAACCACCGATACATGACATTTGCGAAATCAACACGACCTAATACCGCAGTGAAATCGGCGTCACTTCCACCTACGGCAGCAGCAGCATGCCAACATCTAAGTCGAGTGTATTATCAGATACAGAATTGGCTTGGAAAGGATTTAAATCCTGAACAATGGGGATGGACAATAAATAATAATATTTTGGAGCCCCTCAAGACTTTATTACCACCTGCACCAGATGTACTTTCAAACACTATTTTTTGCAATTGCACTAACGGATGCAACACAAATTGCGGGTGCAGAAAAGTTGGACTGTCATGTTCAATATTGTGTGGTCATTGTCATGGTCAATCATGTCTCAACGAGAATATCGATAGCGCTACCGAAAAAAATATGCAGGATGAAGGAGATATCGACTTTGATACTATTGACCTCCTGACACAAAATATAGCAGAAGGAAAAGAAAATGTTAGAGAAAACGACGAGAATTAAAACGTGAAGACAAAGAACAAGAGTTTAGAAGAGATGAGAGAGGACGATGACGTTGAAAGATGAACTTTTTTGCGATTTTTTGTGTGGAGAGTATACGAGATACTGGTGCTACTGGTGTTTGTCAGTCAAAATATTGACAGGTTCACATATTTTACGTCACTTAAAAATTAATGTCAACCAATGACATTTCACTAATGGACCAGCCCTGGCCATATTCTCAAACAGTGTTTGTT